TTTCAGAGGTCACAGAAGAAACTGTCCATCCTTCTCTCGTGGAGCAGCTGGTAGCCTCAAACCATGTGCCTTAAGGTTTGCAGTGCAGCTTCTTGCCACTAGGCCCCCATAGCATCAGAGCTCGTTCACACGCTCTCTCACACACTCTCTTGCTCACTCTCTTTATGTGTATTTCTGACTGGGTGGCATAACAAGAACAGCAAGTTTCATAGTTAACTTCCTCTGAAAACTGAAAGGGCTGGTTTCTGTTTATGCTAACCTAACATACTAACTTTTCAACTGCTCAAAGCATTTGAGCACTTGGAGCTGGTGAGCAATGTGGACGTCAGGCCTTTCCTCAAGCCTGATGGACCAAAACTTGCCTTGTGAGGTTTCCAGGTAACTCAGCTCTATAATACAGTGCAGAAGTACAGCTCTCACAAATCAGTGGTCTTTTACCACATCAGTCCCACTGAGAAGGATTACTCAAATTAATATCTCACTTATTACAAACCGGTGTATTAAATCTTTCCTTGTAAGCTTGTGAATGTGTGTGTGTGTACACACATACACATGTTGGGACAAAGGATGGGGGAGAGATAAAAATAGAGGGCAAAAGTCCAGCCATCCTTCTATATAACCACCTTAAAAAGGAGTTAAAATACAGTGTGGAAACAGGGATGGTCAGACTAACTACATCACCCCCTGAACGCTTACTACTATTGTTGTGTGTTGTTGAATCAGAACCAACCCATAGCTGACCCTCCAGTGCATTTTCAGAAGCCTGGAAGGAGATTCCCCATCCTTCTACACAGCAGCTGGTGGATTCAAACTTTGTGCTTAAGGGATTGCCGCACAGCTTTTATATTTTTTTAATTGATATTTTAATAAAAATTTATAGAGAACTTGGATTTACATTCACTCATTGTTGCACATTTTCCTCCCTCCCTACCCACCCCCAGTTCACTTTTCTCTTAGGAAAAAAATTCTTTCATTGTTGCACAATTTTCTCCCCTCTCCTATGGTCCACTTTGCTATGCAGCATTTATTATGGACTGTTGTCATGCAAATAATTTCTAATCATATATTCCTTTTAAACAGTTGCATCGTCTGTTTCAATGCAGTGTACATTATTTATCCCCTCTTTTCTTAGTTTTTCCCCAACCTCCACGTCAGTATTGTTTTATAATAGGGGCATTATGTAGTATTCTTTTGTTCCTAAAATATTTCACTCAGCATAATGTCCTCTAGGGTCACCCATTTTGTATACATTTTATGAGTTCCCTGTTTTTTCAGTGCTGCATAGTATTCCATTGTGTGAATATACCCCAGCTTCTCTATCCACTCATTTGTTTATGGGCACTGTGGTTGATTCCATCTCTTTGCTATTGTGAACAACACAGCAGTAAACATTGGTGTGCTTGTATTGGTTTGGGTGGCAGTTCTAATTTCTTTAAGGTATATTGTCAGTAGTGGAATTGCTCAGTCAAATGGTGTTTCTATTTCTTTTCGAGAAAGTGCCATACTGCCTTCCATAGTGGTTGCACTCCCACCAATAGTGAATAGGAGTTCCAGTTTCTTCACAATCTTGCCAGCATTTGTTGTTTGCTGCAGCACAGCTTCTTACCACTATGCCACCAGAGTTCCCGTCATTAATTCTAGTGAATATCAACTAAATTAATAATCAGAGTACATGTGCTTCAATCACTTCATCCAACAAATATTTATGGGTAAACTACTTTAGACCAGGTCCTGAAATAAGGCACTGAGACACAAAGATAAATAAGGGCTCTTCAAATAACTTAGCAATCAGTAGAAGAGGGGGTGAAGGAAATCAGCACTATAAGATAATGTGCCTCTGCTGTGACTGTCACCAAGCCAGCGTGGAGGAGTCAAGGACAGTCAGAGAAAAGACACTTGTCTCTGGGACAGAAAGGAATGAGGAAAACTTGGGCCAATGGCATTCCATTCTGAAGGCAGACTCAGGGAGAGAAAACTCTGACAAAGTATACGACTTGGTGGTAGTTGCAATGGCGAGATAGTGGATGCAGTTTTTAGGGAGATTTCCTTCAGTGGAACTCAGTCAAAAAAGAGTTCAGATGAGGCTAGGTACACTCTGATCCTAAGAAACAGGGTTCAGTAGGGTTTTATTAAAGGTTTACTGCATTCCTTTATTAGATAACTCATTCTTTTTAATGTCTCTAAACTGGAAACCTTGGTATTTCCACTCTCAGTACCTCAGAAGCTTCTCCTTCTCTAATTGGGAAGTCTTTGCAAAATTTTTGGATCCATCTATCACGTTTTGAAACAGTGGAGCAAAATGAAATTTGAGCAAATGGAGAAAATATTGTAATAATAATAAGGCCCTGTAACCTAAGGTGCAAAGTAGGCAATACCTTCTGCCCTCCTTTTCCTTCACTTCTTTAGTCTTATCTGTTGCATCACCAGATATTGTGCATTTCACCTTATCCCTTAAACATCTTCCCAGCCTATCCCTCTGCTCTCACTCACAAGCAGTGGGTTACAAAACTAGCTACACATTTGAAAACTTTGAGAACCCTTGAAAAAAGCAATGCAGCTGCCTGCCACTGCCACCCCTCATACTAAAATGACCAGTTGCTTCTACGGGGTTAACTTCTACCTCCCCCTCCCCTTTTTTAAAGGACAAAACAATGTATTATCAACTTTGTACCTAAATCAGTATAAAAGAAATAAATTAAAAGGATAAATATTGTATAAGAACACTATAGAGGAACATTGGAAAGGCTGATCACAATCACCTTAAATGATTCTAATATGCCATGAGTGCTGAGAATGGCCTGCTACTCATTTCTTAGTTTACACATTTGAAATAAGGCTCTGCCAGATCTTTCTGTCTCCAGTCTAGTTCTTATCATCTTTCCACTGCCAAGTCCTAGTCCATCATCTAATTTATAGCAAAAGTTATAGTTCAAAACCACAAATACAGGGTTTCCACTTTCTTGCTCATAAACTGTCTTTCTAGTATTATTGGTCACTACCTTCCACTCTGTACTACACTTTATAATGATTCGTTAAGTAAGTCATATACTTTCATACACGCAAGTCTAGGTTTTTGTATGTACTAAGAAAGGATTCCCTCCTAGTAGCTTTGGAGATAACACGTTCCGGCTGATTCCTTGAATCCAGATTTCTATGCTCCAAAACTATGAGGCAGGGAATTTCTGTGGTTTCAAGTCTCTCTCTCTCATTGCTGCTGAGTTAGAATGGATTCAGAGTTGAAGCTCCACCAAGTTTCAGAGGCTGTAAATTTCTTGGGAGTAGATTATCCATCATTACCCCTTAGTGAGGTCCAGCCTTTGACTTAGCAATGCAACTCCTTGTGGACTAGGCCACCAGAGCTCCCTACCTACTTTGTAGTACTTTGTTTTATCAGCCTTAGGGAACTATTGCACTGTCTGCAATTGGGATTGTTGGTTGACTGCTTCTTCTGGAAGCTTCCTTCTTCCCATCCTCCTAAACTGTGATAAAACACAGTTCATAACTTGACCATCTTAAGCAAAGTCCCAGAAGTCCATCAAGACTTGTTAGAAAAATATTTTTATGCAGTAAATATGGATCTTGGAAGGATTTAATATCCATATTTCTCCAAATATGCATTTCTTTCTTAGTCATTTCTTTAGTTAAATGATGTCATAGATCATATTTCAATTTATGACACTTTTTGTTAAAATACATCTCAATAGTGCTGAGACACATTTTAATATGATATATGAGCAAATAAATGGGATTGATATTCTTAGATAATAAATCTTTCCGTACCTGTTTAAATAATTTAATGGCATATGGTTCATTTTGAATCTCCACTTTGTAGACCTCAAACATCTCCCCTTCTCCGATGCGGAAGTCTTTGTGGAAATTTTTGGTTCCTTCTCTGATGTTGTGAAAGCTGATGGAGGATGTGAGTAGCAGCCCTTAGGAAGACAAGCCAAGAGAAGGTAAGTTATTGCTTCTTTTTAAGAATCAAAAGCGTCATTATAGAAACCATTTGTTGTTGTTTTATGCTGTCAAGCTGGAACTAACTTATAACTGATCCTCTGGTGGGTTTTCAGAGGCAATAAATCACATTGGAGGAAATTGCATATCTTTCTCCAACAGAGCAGCTGGTGGGTCAAATCATATAGCTTTGGGTTGGCAGCACAACTCCTTAACACTAAGCCACTAGAGCTTCCTATATAAACTATTTAGACTAACATATTAGAGACAACCCCGTGGACGATTCATAATGGAGGATGCAGAACCGTAAGTGAAGCCACAAAAGTGGCAAATGTCATGGAGTTTCTCTACTCGTTAGCTAGGGCTGACTCCCAGCATTCCAAAAAGAGCCTTTTTTGGTTATACAGATAGTAACATTGTGATTGTATCACATTTCAAAGAGATCAGAAAAAAAATTTAGTTGAGAAAAATTTTCCAAAATAATGTCTTTTATAATTATGACAATGTATTGCTGCTGACCCAAGATTACTCTAAACCCGGTAAGAAACTATAGAAGTAGACATCTTGATTTGTCTAAAATGTGTAACTTCAAGATACTACTTTTCATGAGCCAAATTGTCTAAGTGTTTACCTTCTACAGAGGAAATCAGGAACTTGCTATGTTTGGTGTGGGAGCGGGGGTGTTAGCCATCCAAAATGGAAATTGGGATAAACATTTAAAAGGCAATCTAATACAAACTCAAAAGAAAAATACACACCCAAGTATATTTGCACAACTAATACAAAATGCTCTCTAAAGAGAGTAAGAAACTGTGCTGCAATTCCAAAAGCATGTGGTTTAAAATCCATCAGCTGCTTCTTGGGAGAAAGATGTACAGTCTGCTTCCATGAGATTAACTGCCTCTGAAAACCCACTGGACAGTCAGCTATGGGTCGCTTCTGACTTAACATCACACAACATCACTGGAGAACTGAAACCTTATCTAACTTTCTTCATCCTCTTTTGAACCAAAGGAGCAATGACTGACTAAGATTAGAAAAGACGGTTGTAAGTAGTTAATTTTATCAGAGTAACTCCCAGATGAGGCTAATTAATTTGGACTTTGTCCACCGTCACTGAGAAAGATCTTATAAATCAGTTGAGCATCTCTGCTTTGTAGTAAAACCTTTCAGAAAGCCAGAATCTGTGTAAGGTGGAAACTTGTGAGAGAAAACATGATGTTTCCCACTAAAGCAAATATTAGGGGGGAAAACCATGTGCACCTTGTTAAAAACAAGAAAACAAAGAATTCCAAGGAGGTTTGGGCCTCACTTTCATAGTATAGACCTATAGAATGTAAACTCAGGGTTTATGCCAATGAAGCAACTTAGATACAAACTGGTCAAGCCAGAACACTCATTTTCATTTGTGTTCTTTTTTCCAATAATAAAACTATAAGTAAAGTGTTTCCTATAAGTTCTGTGAGTTGTTCTAGCAAGCTATTGAACCTGAAAGATTAGTGTAAGCCCCAGATAAAAAAATGTGTAAGGCTGGGGATCCCTGAATTTGTAGACAACAAGTCATAAATGAGGGTTCTGCGGAGGTTCCTGAGCTTACGACTGTGGAGAGACTTAGGGGCTGGAGGATTATACCGCATAACTAGTGGCCCAGGGACAAGTGGTTAGTGTCAGAAGAAGTGCTACTCGTGCAACTGTTGCCAAAACTGAAGTGGAACCTCACCGAATGGATTTGATTGATCCAATCTTTACAGTTTGGGCAGAGAAGTGAAAATGGGATTTGTTTGATTTTCCACAGAGGAAAAAATTGACTTTTCATACTGGTCCTCAACAGTACTCTGTAATCATCACCAAAGATCCTTGTAATTTCTGTGACATTTTCTAGAACTATTTAAGACCCAATGAAATGTAAAAACTATTTTCTGTGACATATAAACAGCACATTTTGTTAATAAACAATAGAAAGCCCCACTAAATTGAGAAACTACAATTATATCTTAACTTGCCAAGCATCAGTCAGGGAGATCCAGCGATACAAAGGTTAAGTGTTCAGTTGCTAACCTCAAGGTCAGTAGTTGAAACCCACCATTGGGTTCAAAAAGGAAATATCTAGTGATTTGTTCTTATAAATATTGTCCTTGAGTATAAAACCATTTAAAAAATAACTTCACTCAAATCACAACAAAATAACACAAAGATATCCTTTAGCCTATGGGAAGGTGTTACTCTGTCCTAAAGTTTCCAATCTATTATTCATAGGGTAACTGTGACTTATAGTAAAGTCATGGCACAAAACAACAATTATAAAAACGTTATGTCACAAAAAAACCCCAAACCACAAAACAAAAACAGTCAGTCACTATTAAGACCATCTTCATGTCTATGAATAATTTCTACTTGATCTGCATATTCATAAATACACGATTATTGATATTTCTCCTTTTAAATTCACTTAAACACATTTTCTTTTTTAAAAAAAGCTTTTAAAAAAAGACTTTGTTTTCTTTTTACCTTTTTTATTACATTCAGGAGCAGGAACTTTTCCCACTGTGACATTTGTTGTTTCCTAGGAGAAGAAAAACATAATAAAGTAATTGTATTTCCTAAGTTTAGAAAGAACAGAGAGTTCCTCAAGAGACGTGCAAAGCTCCCCCGGTAAACTCCAGTAAAATGAAGTGGAGTCTGCTTTAGAAGAAAGTTTGTAGAAAGCCATGTTCCTTCACTTCACTCAACAGCATTCACTCCTACGTACATTCAAGACTTCCATTATCAACTGTGAGAATTAAAGTATCAATGTCACGGTCCATTATAATCAATTTTAAATGACACCTTATGCAGTATAAGCCATCAACACTAATTCTCTAATTGAATAGTAACATGAGAACCACTAATTGTTCTTGTTGTTGTGTACCATAGAGTCAGAACTGACCTACAGCTGACTTTCTGACAGGTTTTCAGAGGAGGTTAATCAAATGGGAGGAGATTGCCCATCTTCTCCCGTTGAGCAGCTAGTGGCCTCGAACCTGTGCCTTCAGAACTGCAGCACAGCTTCTTGCTACTAGGCCACCAGTGCTCCCTAAATGACTAATTAGAACAGGAAATTTTGCATCTGAGGTAAGAGGAATGCATAACCCACAGCATCCTCAGTAACTCTATCTTAACTCCAAGAAAGATCGCTGAGAGGAACAAGTGCTTATCACCTTAAACATTTCTAAATCTCTGATTTCCTGATTCCTTACCTAAGGAAAGATTCCAAGAACTAAGGCTTTCCTGGTTTTAAAAAAAGGGGTTCTGAAAAATGCAGCCTTTTTCTGACAATTTCATCCTCTGTGCTCGAGTTCAAGGGTCATTTTCTGTGCCACACACTCTACCTTGGGTGGTATGCTTGGAAATCCACCTCCTTGATGGTTCTGCTCTGAGGGACTCAAGCCTGCAAGTAAAAGAGAAATAAAGACACCTCTACATCATGTTTAAAAGCACTATGTCCCAAATAAATATTTTGTCTAAAATGTCTGAGGCAAATATCTTCATGACAATGCTCATTTGTAATTTCTGTTTTGTTCTCATGGAATGGTTAAAAAATTACATACATAAAAATATGCTAGAGGTAAAAAAAAATTATATACGTGACATTAGTTGATCATGATTAAATATTTTAAGCATATTTTTGTTCATTTAAAACATGGACTAAAGCTGCTGTTAAGCTGGTTCTGACTCATAGTGACCCCACAGGACAGGGTATAACTGTCCCGCAGTGTCTTGGGCTGTAAGTTTTTCTGTGAGCAGACTGCCTGTCATCTGTCCACAGAGGAGCCGCTGATGGGTTTATACCACTGACCTTTTGCCCAATTCTTAACTTCTTGTACCACTAGGTCTCCTTAAATCATGAACACTTACCTTACACCATTGTTAAACATCTATACAGATATTAAAATATTAAGTAGAAAACTCCAAGGATAAAAACAGCACACAACGTTTTTTGAGCTGATAAAAACAATTTTTTTTTAAGTTTTCTCCCTTTGTGCCCAGGACCTTCTTTTTTTAAAAAAAATTTTTTTAATCATTTTAATGAACATTTACAGAGATTTTGGATTTTCATTCATTCATTGCTGTACTTCTATCACCGCCCAGACCCCCCCCCCCCAGTTCGCTCCTCTCTTTGAAAAGTAAAATAAACACTCCCTCCCTGGTACACAATCCCCCTGCACCCCTCCCACCGCCTCAAGTACATTCCACTGTGCAACTTTAATTGTGGACTCTTGTGATAACCATAAGACCCTATCATTTTTACTGGATTTTTTGCACTCATGAACGTTTACTGCCAAATCAGAACAAGCTCCTGGTGAATCTGCTAGCGGGTTTTCAGAGGCTGTAAATTGCACAGAAGATTGCCTATCTTTCCTCCCTGTGGAGCTGCCGGTGGTTTGAAATGCCAGAGGGCTGCTGCCTTTGGGTTAGCAGCACACCTCTCTCAGAGCTCCCTATTTTTCTGGACATATGCTCTAAATCATACAATTATGAGATTATATTTTTCTAGTTCTTTTTAAATTGCATTTTATGCCATGAGTCATTGTTGTTAAGTTCCATTAGAGAAGGTTTTTGTGTGTGGGAGTAACCACCACACACTCCTAAACACTTAACTGTTGTTGACTTGATTTAGACTTCCAATGACTCTTAAGATAGGGTAGAACTTCTCCATAACGTCTCCAAGGTTGTAAATCATCATGTAAGCAGAGTATCATAGTTGTTTCCATGGAGCAGCTGATGGATTTGAATCGCCAACCTTTTGGTTAGCAGTTGAGTGTATAGCTATAGCACTAAAGCATTCCTTCAATTCATCCCAATTATCATCTAGTTTTTCTTGGACTGCAGACTAGTGTTTCTTAGGTAATTTTTTCAAGTATACTACTAACAGAAGAGTAGAAATGAATGATGTTGTTGTTGTTATGTGCTGTCAGGCTACCTGCAACTAATAGCGACCTTATGTACAACAGCTCTGAAATTCTCATATCCTGAGCCACAGACTCTGACACACCTAGCCCCAATGCCCTAGTTACTGTATCAATCCATCTCGTCCAGAGTCTTCCTCTCCTGTGCTTTCCCTCCACCCCTCTAAGCATGATGACCTTTTCCGAGGACCAATACCTGCTGACCATGTGCCCAAAGTATTTGAGACAGAGCTTCAAAATCCTAGCCTCCAAAGAAAAACTTGGTTTCAACCTCTCCAAGACAGATGGATTTATTTCTTTGGTGGTCCATGGTATGTTCAAGACTCTTCTCTAGCACCACAATTTGAAGGCATTACTTTTTCCTCTGTCATCCTTAGTCATGGTCCACTTCTCTGATGCATAGCAAGTAATGGTAAAGACCATAGCCTGAATTAAGCGTACCTTGGTCTTTAGACTTTTCAGTACTCTAGAGAGTTCTCTGACAGCAGATTTTCGCACTGCAATTCATCTTTTGATGAATTTCCTGACTGCTGGTGTTAAGAGTGTTGATTGTGGAGCTGATCAAGCTGTAATTGTTAATAAACTCAATCTCTTCTCCATCTATCATGATGCTGCCAGCTGGCCCACAGGTGAGAATCTTTGTCTTCTTGATGTTGAGCTTCGGAATCCATATTGAAGACTACAGTTCTGATCTACTGCAGCAAGTGCTTCAGGTTCTATTTAGTTTAAAAAAGCAAGATTGTGTCATCTGCATTATGTAGGTTGTTGATGAATCTTCCTCCAATCTTGATGCCCATATCTCCTCATAAAGCCCTGCTTCCTGAATGATATGTTCTGTGTATAGATTGAAAAGGTATGAAGATAGGATGCATCCCTGACACACTCCTTTCCTGATTTTGAACCATGCATTGTTTCCCTACTCTGTTCTGAGGACTGCTTCCTGGTCCAAGTATATGTTTCATATGAGCATAATCAAGTGTTCTTGGATTCCAATTTTCCTCAAGGTTAGCCACAATTTATTGTGATCCAAACAGTCAAATGCCTTTGCATAGTGAATGGAACATAGACACTCCTCTGGTACTCTTTGCTGTCTGCCAAAATCTATCTGACACTGGTAGTAATGTCTCTAGTGCCATAACGTCTTCTAACTCCAGCATCCATTTCTGGTAGTTCTCTGTCAATTATCCAGTCGTTTCTGGATAATCTTCAGTGGGATTTTGCTAGTATGTGATGTTGGATAATTGCCCTACTCTATCGGGTTACCTTTTTTTTTTTTGGAATGGGAGTAAATATGCAACTAACTATTCCAGTCACTTGGTCAAAAGAAATGGAATGCATAAATATTGATTTATTAGGAATTGGAAAAATGAGATGGATTGGCATGGGACATTTTCAAGTAGACGATCATATGATCTACTACACTGGAGATGAAAAGGTAAAAAAAATGGGGTCACTTTCATAGTTAAAAAGGCCATTTCTCGATCCATCTTGAAATACAACATTGTGAGTACAGGATAATATCCATATGCATACAAGGAACACCTGTTAATCAACAGTATATTTTATTTACTTTTCTTTTTTTGTGACTTGAATGAAGGTTTAAAAGGAAATTAGTTTCTCATTCAACCATTCATACATCTTTTATTTTATTTCATTCATTACAATGCCCACAATGTCATCCCCTTATTGAATATTGCTTTCTCTTTAATTCATTAAAGTACACACACGCAATGTGTATATATATTGTATATATGTTGTTGTTGTTGTTGTGTACTGTCAAGTAGGAGCTGACCCATAGCTGATTCTCTAGTGGGTTTTCAGAGGCAGCTAACCGAACAGGAAGAAATTGTTCATTCTTCCCCCACAGAGAATCTGGTGGACTTGAACTGTGAACCTTTAAGCTTGCAGCACAGCTTCTTCCCACTAGGCTCTTCTTTTGTAGTTTGAATCCACCAGTGGATTCTTGGGCGAAAGATGAGCAATCTCTTCTTGTGTGATTTTTAGCCTCAGAAAACCTTTTTGCTAGAGTCAGTTATGAGTTCCCACTAACTCATAATTAACGACAATTTCAAGGATGGGTTTTTTTTGTTTTAGAATAGGTCATGTCCCCCCACCCCTTATTTAATTTTTCACATGTGTAACAGACTGAGAGCCAGCCAAGAATATGGGATTTTGTCTACTCACAGTCCAGATTACTCTCCACTGCATAAATAAACAATGTAGAGAGTAAAAAGACCCTAAAGTCTATTCCACAACACTGAAGTATAAAACATACCCATGGGTCCTATCAAAATGGTATGAGTTTATGTTACAGACAGCAATCCACGTTGGTGATTTTAGACCCTGCGAAGGGTTTGATAATGAAAGGTATTGCATTTCTAGTTCTCAGGGCCTTGCTACATTTCATTTAGAGTTCTCAGGCTCTTAGTACACTTCACTTGACAGAGCAACTTCTTTACTAAAAACTAAGATAAGAAAGAAACAATGTGCAGAAAAGAGTGGATGGAGGACTAGTTAAGTACACAGATGATATAACGATGGTGGAAGCATATTGGCAAGTCTAATGTTAACAAGTAAAAGCTAAAAAGGAATAAAAATTTTAAAATACTCCAACACTATTTATCTTCAGTTTTCTGGTACAAACCTCTCAAGATTTCTCCTTTGTTATGTACAATACATTTTTGGGTGATAAAATAGGTTTTCTTCTGCAATAAGTATATTATTAAATTGTCATTGTTGTAGTGTGCCGTTGAGTCAGGATTACTCATAACTGACCCTCCAGTGGATTTTCAGAGACAGTCAATCATAGGGGATTGTCCATCTTTCTCGTGCAGAGCAGCTGGCTGATTCCAATCTCCTACCTTTGAGTTGACAGTACTATTCCTTACCGCTGAACCATAAAGGGGAGTTCAGTGGCCTCTTGGCAAGAAGCTGCACTGCAATCCCTTCTGGCACACAGTTTTAATCTACTGACTAAGACCTGACTCTCCAGCACATATTCAGAGGCTATATATCGCATTAAGGAGACTCGCCCATCTTTCTCCTATATATGTAAATACACAGAGCTAAAAATATACGTGGATTGAAAGAATCAAAGAATAATGATGTTAGCTCTAAAGAGTTTCCAAGCTAAGAAGCCTGTATCTGTACCATAAAACCCAACACTAATAAGTAGCCTTATGGTTGAAGAAAAGAGAAAAAAAAATCTAAGTGAAATACACAGAATACATGATACTTGGAGATTTACTGACAAAAAGAGTAGAGAAAATGTCATGAACTTTACATATGAAGCTGCTGTAAATGTAGACATGATGTAATATCAGAGACAGGTAAGATAAACTGAGAATTATGGTACTATGGAAGGAACATCAAACAATTTACTTAGAGGGTTTGTCATTTAAAAAGCAGTGAAGATCAAAGAGCCCCCTCAAATCACTCTGGAGGAAATGTTTGCACCAAAACATGGTGGGTAGGTATGTTGTGTGTCTGCACACTTGTGTATGAATCTTCAATTGTCTTTTTAACTTCTAATATTACAACAAATTATAGCAATATATATATTATCCAAATTTGATTTTGAGTGTGTGAGTGTGTGTGTGTGTGTGTGTGTGTGTGTGTGTGTGTGTGATTCAGAGTTTTAGAGAGAGAGAGTTGGAGAGTTGTTTCTATTAGCAAACGAAACCAAGACAAATCAATGCTTTTGGATTGTGGTATTGGGGAAAAGTGCTGACTATCCCATGGACTGCCAAAAGAACAGACATGTCTTCTAGAAAGTGAAACCAAAGTCCTCCTTAGAGGTAAGGATGGCAAAGTTTCATTTCACATGCTTTGGGCACGTTGCTAGGAGAGAGTATTCCTTGGGAAGCAACATCATGCTTGGAAAGGTGGAGGGTCAGTGAAAGAGAGGAAGATCTTCAATGAGATGGATTGACACAGTGACTGCAGCAATGGGCTCAAGTGTGTCAGAGATGATGAGGATGACACAGGAAAGGATTCAGATCTATGTTCATAGGTAGGCAATGAGTTGTACTTGACTTGATGATGCTTAATAACAACTTCAACAACAAAGGGTAAGTAAACAGTTTATAAGTAAAAGTGGAGGGGGAAACCCCCCAACAACTATAATATGATAGAGGGGAAAAAAGGTGTTGTAGTAAGTTAGACAACAGAAAAAAAAGTATGAATTACAAAACACATCTAATTTTTTTGCAAAGGGCTCTCCAGATGAAAGCCAAAGTTAAGGAATCACTGACTCAAAGCCAGCCTAGTGCTTAGTTCTTGATTGACAACAACAGTTAATCTCTTATGGGGCTCTGATGGCTTGGTAGTAAGAAGTTACACAGTGAATCTAAAGGCACATGATTTGAATCTAACAGCTGCTCTGTGAAGAAAGATGTCTATTTCATCCTGTGCGATTTACAGCCTCAAAACCCACTGTAGGTCAGCTTTGAGTTGATTTTGACTAGATAACAAACTGCAACAACAATCTCTTGGGAAAAAGTCAGTCTTTATACTTCCAATTCTTATAAGAGTCACTTTATAAGAAAAAGTATTTACCATGGTTTGTGATTAAATGAACAGCTCGATGATGACCCATCTCCTGGAGAATCTGTAAAAGGTCACCGATGGTCTTGTTTTTCTGTGCCCAGGACCAAAGTAATTCTCTTGTTCCACTTTTACCTTGTTCTACATACTTTTCGATATGACGAACATCCAGCCAGCTGTTTGAAAGCCGCTCCGCTGTAGAAATGACAGGAGAAGCAGAGAATAGGTCAATTTTAACAAAATGTTTATTGTTGTTGTTTACTTTTTTGTTTTTTTAATCCAATTTTTTAAAATTCATTTTAACGAACATTTACAGAGATTTTGGATTTTCATTCATTCATTGTTGCACTTTTTTCTTTACCCCACCCCCACCCCCCAGTTCGCTCCTCTCTTTGAAAAGCAAAAGATAAACTTCTTTGTTGGCACACAAT